TTCTTCTTCTTCTTCTTCTTCTTCTTCTTCTTCTTCTTCTTCTTCTTTCTCCTCCTCCTCCTCCTCTTCTTCCTCTTCCTCCTCCTCCTCCTTCTTCTTTTCAAGAGTTTCTCTGTGTAGGTGGATTTCTGTGTGTTCAAGACCAGCCTGATATCCAGAGTGAGTTACAGGACAGTCAAGATTACACAGAGAAACCCTGTCTCGAAAAAAAAAAAAAAACCAAAAAGAATGTATATGGTGTCACATGTGTTTAATTCCAGCACCCTTGAGGCAGAGGCAGGCATATTTCAGTGAGTTCTGGACCAGCCTGGTCAATATAGTAAGTTCCATGCTAGCCAAGGCTGTGCAGTGAGACTCTGTATGTAGAGTCCAGTCTTTAGTTTTTGTTTTGTGAGCTAGGGTTTCACTATGTAACTCTGACTGGCCTTGCACTCAATATGTAGGTCAGACTGGCTTTGAACTCACAGAGAGATCTACTTGTCTTTGCCTCCCTAATGCCTGAGTGTACCACCATACCTGATTTTTTTTTTTTTGAGAAAGGTTCTCATACAGCCCACGTTAGCCTCAACCCACTGGACAGCCAAGGATGACCTTGAACATCTGATCCTTCTGCCTCTCCCTTAGAGCTCTGGGTTCAGAGGCATTTCTTACCCTCCTAACTTTATTCTGTGCTGAGGGTTGAACTCAGGGTCTCGTAAATGCTAGGCAAATACTCTACCAATTGAATCATAGCCATAACAAGCAAGCTTTGTTTTTTTCTTTTTTTGCTCAATGCTAAGATGAACTCTGATGTTTTCTATTTCTACACAGGAACTGAAATTGTGTGGCAGTCCTAGAGAGAAGAGGCGGGAGGAATAAACAGACAGAACACAAGCAAAGCTTAAAAATATATATGTGCTGGGTGGATGATCTTGGCCACCAATCTGGCTGAATTGGAAAGATGCCTTGGAAATTGGTCACTCAAGCAACCCTTCCATAAACGACTAGTTATTTGTTGTCATTTATTTGTTTTGAAATAGGATATTTTGAAGCCCTAGAACCAGTTATGTAGTTGAAACTGTCCTTGATCCAGCACCTTCAGTCTCCAAGTGCTGGGCTTACATACATAGGCTATTTTGCCTGTCTTTCAGTGATGAATGGGATGTGTGTCGGCAATGGGATGGAAAAGGCCGCCTTGAATGTGTTTGGGGTCTTGATGGAACAGAGCAGAAGGAAGGAACAGTGTGAGGACCTGACTTTGAAAACTCCATTTTAAAGAAGGGGCTTCATCTTAAGCCATATAATGAGAATGTGTGTGTGTGTGTGTGTAGGGGGGTGATCTCAGCTCCAGAAATGTGCTGCCATAGCAGAAATTTGAACAGATACCCTAAAAATGGCCAATTAAGAAGATAGGGAGCAGAGTCATAAAATTTAACAAGGTCCAGATGTTCCTAGGAGGCATCCTGTCCTTGAAGATACCTTGTCAGTTGTTAATGACCCTTTGATAGTTTTTTTTGCACCCAGAAACTGACCAATAGTTTCAGAAACTACCTTATCCTATGCCCTCCTCACCCAATCCCAAGAAGACAGGACATGAACTCCCCTGATTACGGCATTTCCCCTTTAAAAGTTCTACCCTCCCAGGGCTCCCTGCCACATTTTCTGTACCCACCATGCTGGGGTGCTGGAAAGGTGTTGGTCTAAACTTGAGTTTGAATTAAAAATCTTCATGTAACTTGCATCAGAAATCTGGCTCCGTGAATTCATTTGGGGGACCAGAAACTTGGGCATAACAACAGCTCACTGGGTTCTTGACCTGCAGTGTATTTGCCGTTGTCATCCTCAGCAGCCATAAGAACCCAGGTTCACCAGGCAGTGGTGGCGCATGCCTTTAATCCTAGCACAGGCGGATCTCTGTGAGTTCGAGACCAGCCTGGTCTACAGAGCAAGTTCCAGGACAGGCTCCAAAAAAGTTACACAGAGAAATCCAAGGAAAAAAAAAAAGAACCCAAGTTATTTGGTCTTTGAGTGTGAACTTGCACCAGTGCTCCCCTCAAAGGGAAGGGTGCACCATGATTGTCTCTGGTCCTGAGATCTCTAGCTACTTGGACCAAGAAGCTGTTGGATACTGGCTCTTCAAATACAGACAGAGGCTGTCCCGTGAGCTAGTCTCTAAACTCATTCCTCTTTTGAGTTAAAGATTTATTTTTATTTATGTGTGTATGAGTGCATGCCACATACATGCTGGTGTCCTCTATAACACGAATTCTAGTTGGTCTTAATAATAAAAACCCACAGTCAGATATATAGGTGTGAATGCTGAAGATCAGAGAAGCAGAAAGGTCAGCCACTAGAGAGTTCTTTTACCTCTACCGATGCTCAGACTGAAGGGGCGATCCTTCCTCAGACAGCATCTTCAGACCCTGTCTGTCTCCACCAAACCTCGGACTGCACTGAGCTCCTGTCTCCTTCCCGTTATATTCCTCTCTCCAGCCATATCATAACTTCTGTCTTCACCTCCCTAGTTCTGGAATTAAAGGTGTGTGATCCCAAATGCTGTGATTACCTTTGTGTGGGCTCTGTTTCTCCTTTAGACAGATTCAATTTGTGTAGCCCAGCGTGGCCTTGAACTAGCAGAGATCCCTCTACCTCTGTCCCCCGAGTCCTGGGATTAAAGGTATGTGCCACCACTCCCAGGCCTCTAGTGGCTTAGCTCTGCACTCTGATCTTCAGGCAAATTTTATTTGTTAAAAAGCAAACAAAACATCAACACAGTCCTCAAAGGCCAGAAGAGAGTATTGTATTCTAAAGAGCTGGAAGCACTCTTTCCTGCTGAGCCATCTCTCCAGACCCAAATCCCCTGCTTTACAATCAGAAATACATAAGAATTATGGGCTAATTTAAGCTGTAAGAGATAATTAGTAATAAGCCTGAGCAATAGGCCAAACAGTTTATAGTTATTATAAACCTTTGTGTGCTTATTTGGGACTGAATGGCTGGAGGACCAGGTAGGACAGAAACTTCCATCTACAAGTGAAGGCATCAAAAGGTTGCTGAACAATCAGTAAGGCTGGAGGGGTAGGAAAAGGGACTTCAAGAGCATCCATGCCATTCCAGGAGCCCGAAGTTGCCAGTGTCTACAGGGCTGTATCTAACAGAACACCTGAGAGTTCTATTTTCACTTGGGCCATTCTTTCCCCTTATCCATAGACATCATTTCCTAGGACTGTTAATTATTGCCACTCATCTCAACGGCTTTGAAATTCCCTAGCTAAGGGGTATTACTGAATGGCTATAAATATGCTGCCGATCCTGGAGCTTAGAGAGAAGGAAGAGAAATGACTGAAACAAACACCCCGTGGTGTCAGGATACAAAGCAGATGGCCTGTGTCCTAGCACTCTTGACTTAGTGCCTCAGGACCTGCTGGGACGATTGTCCGTGCCTTTCTTCACTCAATTGTTCAACTCTGTGCCTTGCTGTTTGCCGAGGGGGCCTCCGAGGGGGCTGAGGCAGGGACGGTAAGGGGGAGCAGTGGGGAGAGGGACATTTTGACCCGAACTTGAACTCTGATTTGAAAGCAGCTTTTTCAAATCTAGTTAACTCTGAGATGGAACCAAAGAAAATCCAGGGACTGGGTTACATATAGGATTTGGATAACTGCAGCAAAGACGTTCAGTCCAGGGGGCTGATGAAGTGTCATTGACATGTGGCTAGGCGATGCACATGCTTGTGGGGTAAACCGCAGTCCATATGTGCACATTTGCAGCCATTGTTCAAGCAAGGCGAGAGGTCCTATAGATAAGATCTAACGTAATCAAGACACAGCCCAACACACCATTTCGGAAGAATGACAAAACTCTCATTCGACCCACAGTTGGCCAACCTACCACACTGGAAGAATTCACAGAGAGAGATAAGATTTAAAAATTACAGTTATTATTTGATTTCCCATCCAACGAAAATGGAAAGGACCTTCAAGTTTGCCAGAGATGAGATTGTTAATGGAGGGGAAGAGGGCTAAAAAATACCATTGTGATTTAAATCTCTATCATAACACTCCGACAAGATAGAGCATGAAGAGCCATAAAGATGGAATTCTTGACCTCTTAGGTGGCCTCTCTCTCATTTATTGAATACAGTTTGGAGCCAGGCTCTTTTCAGAGGGTATCCCACTTGATCTTCTAATAGTCTCACAATCAGCGGCCACTGCCAAGACTTTAGTCAGCTGAGACTTAGTGAAGGAGCGTAGCTTGCCCATTGTGTTTTTGTAAGTGGCAGTATCATTTGAATCTGGGTATCTGGAAGCTACCTATGCATCTCTGTCATCTGCCTTCTGGGGGTGGCCATTCATGCCAAGGACACTTCAGTGTGTCTTGGGAGATAGGACACCAAACCAGTGGGTTTTGGAGACAGCCATGATCCTGCATTAGTGGATCTAATGGAGTCATGTATCTTAGGGATGAAGGAACGCTTCTGTGAATTCTGAGAAGGGTGCACACCAGGGCTGACACTGAGACAGGAGGATTCCTGGTCTATATCATCCTGAGCTACATCAACAGACCCGGTTTTACCACAACACAAAACAGACCAAACAAAACAAACCAAAAAGGCAAAGAAAAAAATGAAAAGAAAGGAGATATATTTAAAAAATGAAAGATGATTTAAGGTCCTGGTGTACAGTATTCGATTTTCTCTCTCTCTCTCTCTCTCTCTCTCTCTCTCTCTCTCTCTCTCTCTCTCTCTCACTTTGGATCAGGTCCCTGTCCTACTTAGCTTTCTGCTGCAGTGATAAACACCATGACCAAAGGCAACTTGTGGGGGAAAGGGTTTATTTCCTTTTACAATTCACCATGAAGGGAGTCAGGGTAGGAAGTCAACTCAAGGTTGGAACCTGGAGACGGGAACTGAAGCAGAGGCCATAGAGAATGCTCCCTACTGGCTTGCTCCCCATGGCTTGTTCAGCCTACTTTCTTAAACAAAGCAAAACAAAAAACAACAACAAACATTTCCTTTTAAAATTTATTTTTATTTTATGTTTGTAACTGTTTTGCCTGCATGTTTGTGAGAGACAAAGTTACATTTTTTAAGTTTTAATTACTATGCCTTAGAGTTCCATGAAACAAAACTGCCTCTGATCTGCAAGACCTTTGCCCAAGAACAGATGGTTCCTGAAATGCTGAAGGCTATTGTTAAGGAAGATAATAAGTCACTTGTTTTTATTCCCCTAAAGTTTGTTTGACCCATCTGTACCAGTGTGCTTAATCACTCACGGGCAGGAGGTATGTGGGCAGGAAATATGTCAGGATGTATGCTTGCCTCTGATTGGACCTGATGGGAAATGTAATGAATTATGGGTTTTCCTTTTTAAGCCCTTGCCACCCTTGATTCTGGGCCATTTCCCAGGAACCTGGTATGGATGTGGCCAGAGCCCATCCACCTAGCCAGCATTTAATTAAAGTTTGCTTCAAAATTGTCTTTAAACTGTGGTAGTGGTCTTATTCTCCATCAGTGGGATTAAAAGTATATATATGTACTACATGCATGCCAGCTAGTGTCTACAGAGGTCAGACGACTTTGGAACCTGGGTGTACAACATGAGCAGCAAGCTTCCTTCACCACCGAGTCTTCTTTTCAGACCACAGCTTGCTTTATTATTCAACTTAGGACCATAATCATAAACAAGACCAGGGTGGCACTGCCCACAGTGAACTGGACCCCTCTCAGCCATCAAATATCACTCAAGAAATTGCACCGTAGACTTGCCTACAGGCCAACCCGATGGACGCATCTTCTCATCTGAGGTTCCGTCTTCCTAGATGAGGAGCCTAGCTTACCCGCACCAAGTTGACAAAAACAGAACAGCCAAAGGAAATGGCACCTAGCCAGCACAGTTCCACATAGTCCAACAGAGCCTGCAAGTGATCATATCGCCAAGGATGAACGTGAAGCTCTGATCCTCCTGCCTTTACCTCCTCAGTGCTAGGACTGCGACTGTGCACCACCATGCCCTGGTGACGTCACTGGTTGTAGGCATCGAACCCAGGTCTTCCTGCATGCTAGGCAAACACTCCTTCAACTGACTCTAGATATTCTACTCTTGGTTTCACTTGTTGTTTTTAATTTCTAGAAACGGTGGGATGTTCATATTGCTTTCTTTCTTTCTTTCTTTCTTTCTTTCTTTCTTTCTTTCTTTCTT